CTAACTAACTGCCTCAGTGCATACTAGCATACAAACAGCCTTGAATTGTTTCCCGTATTTAGCAGAAACAATGAAGATATAAATAGCATTTTACCGAACGTTCAACTTTAATTTATTATACTTTTTCATCCCAAATACGATTACAGGAAGATAGACTAGACAACGTCAGTTTATTAAATTAAACAAATTTAAATTAAAAATTAAAAAATTATAACTTTGTAAATCTTATACATGTCTAAGAAAATTGCTACTAAAATATCTAACGCCCAATAGAATACATTTAGATATATAAGATATGATACACTCTGCCTGTAGTATTTTGCTACGCTCATAAGTTGTCTAATAAAAATCCTCAAATATTGCCGAAACTACTAACAATTATTGCCGAAATTACTAACAATTATTGTCGAAACTACTAACAATTATTGCCGAAACTACTAACAATTATTGCCGAAATTACTAACAATTATTGTCGAAACTACTAACAATTATTGCCGAAACTACTAACAATTATTGCCGAAATTACTAACAATTATTGCCGAAACTGCTAACAATTATTGCCGAAATTACTAAAAGCGTATATACATTATATGGAAATTAGAGTTCGTACCTCAGGATCTCTTAAGCAGAAGAAGATAAATACAAGCAGACCCTGGAGACAGTTGAGGACGGTGAACAAATAGGCTGACAGAGGAGTGCCCTCAAACAAAAACCACAAAGCTAAACTCCATGTAAGACTTAAGACTAACAGGATCAAAATATCTTCTCGGCACCATATCCTGAAAGTACAAAAAACTGTTGAAACGAAACGTTCATTGATTTACTTGAAACTAGTGTCTTGGGATCCATCTACTCGATAAAATATACAGAATCAGACTTCTCTTTCGGAAATTTAAACATTATATACGAGTAATTTATTGTTTACCGTATATATATATTTTCAGTTTCAAGATCCCAATAATTACATTTCTGAACGTCAAAATATTTTCCAACAAACGTTTAATGTGTTAAATTGGAGTAATCCTTATCTTCTGATATTTGTACAGGATGAGACTTCTCAAGATATATTACAGGCAAACAAGTTAACGGGTTGCAACGTTCATCATTATCTCACTGTTGTTTATGCGTATAGCTTGTAGTTTTTAAGATTAAAGATCATTTCAGTAGGCTAAACGCAGTTTAGTTTACTTTGTGTAACTGAAGATTGTTAGTTATTTAATATAGCTTCTATTTATGGGCATGAATATCACATGCCAAACGCTGTCATACCATATTCTATAATTCCTCGTGTTTTTAGTTAGATTTGTTGTTGTTGTAAAGAAAAAAGGTTATAGGTTACACGTACTTTCAAAATAAGTTGACTTTTACCCTTCGAAAAAAGTTAAAAATTTTTTTTGCTGTCAATGTAAAATATAAAAATGAACTGGCTGATAAAGTTGTTATTCGTGTTTTAATCAAAGTTTCTAAAAAGTATCAAAACAAAATATGGACCACAGAGCACGAATTCTAAAGCACGAGATGAATTATGTAAGTTTAAATCAGATTTATTCGAAAAGCTTTCTACAGCAGTAGTTTTTTGTATTTTTTTCAGCCTAGAGCAAGAACGGATCGAAACAATGTTATCACAGAAATAATACATTTTCGAAGAAAATATAACTTAATAGTATTTTCTATATTTTAAATTATTATCATTATTATCTCTTTTTTTAAAAAATTCGTTCCTTTCACTCAATCGTCAAATTCAACCTTAAGTTAACATAAATAACATAAATTGTTTTATAACTGCTGGTTAACTTATAGCAAATTTTTTTAACAGTGAAACAGATGTTCCACAAATTATCTTATCCTAGTTATGAAAAACGTATTATTAATTTAAAAACTTCTCGTACACTTTGAACATCACAAAAACGTTTACGGATATTAAGAATGGTATTATAAATAAAGTGACCTATTTTTTTTTCCTTGTAGTAGCAAAGCACTGATAACAAAAACTAAATAAGAATGTTCTTTGGTGCAGTTCATTGCACTTGCTCTTCATTTAAAATGCTAGTCAAGAATTTCCTTTTTTTCGCTCATTCAGTCAGATGCTTATACAGGATGCACTAGTTGTTCTGTTTTCAGGACAACCTGAGATTTGTTTAGTTTCGCCCAAGTTCACACTCATCTTAAATCAAAACTCAACTTAGTTGTTGAAATAGCATGCACCACTGACTTATCTGTTTAACTGAACAACCACTAGCATCAACCAAGTTTTTCTGTTTGCTCTTTTAATGCAACTATTATATGACTTCGTTAAAGATAAGGAAAGCGGTGAAAGATAACGTTGATTGTTTGAAGTTAAGCACAAAGCTACACAAAGGGCTATCTGGGCTATGCCCACCACGGGTATCGAAACCCGGTTTTTAGTGTTGTAGGTCCGCAGACATACCGATGTGCCATTGGGGGGCAATAACGTTGATACGAAACTGACTAACAATTCCCAATTTTATAATATATACATGTACATGTATATATATTTTTGAATTCTGTAAAATTCTAAAATCATAGGAATATTAATTTCAGACACTTATAATAATTGCCTTTATCATTGCAGATATCTTTTGCATTTATAAATCTCGATACTCTTACTTTATCATATGCTTTATTTGTTGTTTACAAGTAGATCTGTACATAATGTACACAAAAGAAGTTTTATACACTCATATCGTAATGCTATATTACTAAATCTCTGAAAAATTACTACACAATTCTATATAATAAAACTTAAGCAGGCGATGCTACTACATCTGCATAATGGGATGGGGGTAAAGTATTTCAAGAAATGGTGGGGCTAGAAACTTATCGTCTGACAATTCTAAGAATCCATGAGTAAAAGTAGAGGAAAATATCTTATATCATTTAAATCTGCCTCTCGACCAGTATCAAGGGTCATCCGTCCAGTTGGAATACGACAGACATATTACTTGTTTAGGTACTATATATATCATCAAGTTTCAAGAACGACAACTGCTAGGGTGTGAACCAGATTAAGCTGGTGAATTGTAATTATTATAAATGTTAATTAAGTCATTTATAAATCACATTCTTAGGTTAACAATTAAATACACATTATTTATATTTATCATTATTAATATTAATGATAATGCTCCTTGTAAGGGAGAAAAGGGCGTTAAGAAAAGAGTTCAGGAAAACGAAAAAATGAATGAGAATGATATGTATTTCTTACCTTACACTTGATCTTCTTGTTTCTTCTTTATTCTTCATCGTAAGAGCATTTTGTGCTTTGTAGCAAACTTTGCACAGAATTAGAAAGTAGAAGATAACAGAGGCCTGTAAGCATGTCAATTATAAGATATTAGTAGTGACATCCAATATACTAAACTATCTTCACACTGAAAGCTTCCTACATAATAGATGTTAGATAAGAAAAAGTAATTAGTTGAAATCAGTCTGTTAGTAATACTAGAAAAGACCTTGACATTTTAACTACAATTAACTGTACTTTATAATTAAAAAATATTAGACTCTTTGAATGTACTATATTAATGATTACTCAATAAATTCAATACACGAAAACAAGAGTTTATCCTCGCTCAACTGTATTTACACTTATTTGTAATCGATGTTCAAAAGCATATACTGGATATTGTGGAACAATCTGAGATGAAGAAAACCTCTCCAACCGTAACGAAACGCATTCCATGAGTACTCACCACAACGAAGGCCAGTGTCGGTCCTACGAAGCTAAACACGTAATAATTCTTAATGTTCAGCCAGCAGAAAGACAATGTACCGTAACTGTATGGATCAATAATAACCGAGACCCCTACGACGATTGCAGGCAAGCCATAACCAAGACTATAATACCACTTCCAACGGGTCTTCTCGGCCTTGAACACATCTAATACCATCAGAAACAGCTGAAATGATTCCAGGAACATCCAGGCAAAAACAACAAGGAGGAAATAATGTAGAAGTCCTGCTATTATTCCACACACAATTCGATTGGTGATCTGGTCAATTCCACCCACAAAGACAACTTCAGTCAGAAACAGACACAGAGAGATATTTTTATGGATTGTGTTTCGAACGCCTTGCAAGTTCCTGAAAAATAAAATTTCGGTTTAGTGGGTTTTTCTACATAGATTTTACTCATTAAAAATATTCTAAAAACACACATATATTATAATCTTGTGTTTTCAAATTGATCTAATATATTCAATTATTAACGTAGAAACTAATAAGCTATTTTCATAGGTTTCATGGGGCTCTTTTCTGATTCTATTCGAAAGGAAACAATGCAAGTTATATCAATAACACTCATCCGTAAATCAGTTATGCTTTCTTAGAACAGTTACCAAAAACTGCTTTATATGTTATACATTATTATAACGTGTTTGCTTATTTTAGAGAAAAGCTATCTGCTATGTCCATCGCGGAGGATCGAACCTCGGATGTTAGCATATTAAGTGCGGAAATTCATCGCTGTGTCACCTGGGGGACATAGTATTTCAACAAAGCTTAAGATTACAAACATAGAATACCTGAATTTTTAATAAGCTAGTGAAATATTTTAATCATGTTTATATATTTTTTATCGGAATTCCTATTGAAAATAATAATTTTTAACACGACCCATCATCATAATCAAAATATTACACCTGGCTGAATGAAGCTTGTACTGCAACCGAATCAAACAACATTTTTCAAAGTTTAGTTCTGATGACAGATATAAGGACAATTATTTTTCAAATGATATATTATTCAATGCAGTAGACAGACAGACAAACAGGTAGATAGATAGTTAGATAGGTGCAATTTTGTTGTACGTTGTAGTTAGCTAGAGACATAAGAGATTACATAAGCATCAACAGAAAAATATTTTATGCATTAAAGGACAACCTTACACCCTTCTTCAAATTAATTCAGTCTTCCAGTTGCTTGGAATCCAAACAATTTAATTACAGAGTACTAAAGGTCTGGTGAGCTACTGTTCAAAATGCCAAATCGTTAAAGTGTCTGTTACACCCATAAGCAGACCTAATTAAATATTGAAACTGAATGCATTTTTGTAACATTCTCCATCCACCAGATATCCAAAGAACTTATAAAAAAGGGAACTTCCAGAGTAGAGGCGCACACATAACATTCAGTCAAAACTTACCTTAGAAACTGAAGAATCACAAAGGTAACCAACAAGAAAAGTAGTGCCAAAGCACAGCCGACAGTAATAACGATACGAACAGCAACACCTTCCGTCCTTTTAGTCTATCAAAGAAAAAAAAATATGAGTCAAAATCTTCGTCTTATACTTTTAACAATAGTAAAGCGTATAATCTTACTCTTAACATTATTAAAACATTTTAACTTTGATAAGCCAACTTCTTGTATCTTACGTGCCATTACGAGTAAATTAGAATTATATAATAATAAGTGAGTGTATTTTACATCACATTTCCCTTTTCCTATTTATGGTTAGTTTTTTTGTATTATTGTTAGATTATTTAGAAAACTTTGATTGTTTTAATTTCATTTTAAATATAACGAAGGTTTCTTTTCAGTGAAATTACGTTAATATTATTAAATGCAATTTTTTCCATTTCTTTTACACCTATAACGATTTGCATTGTTAGCTTGTTGTGAGGATTTAGGACTAACCTAAATTTTCTAAGCTGACCAGATCTCGTGATATATTATTGGGATTACGGCCAAAAATCTTCTTAATAGATAGGTTACCAACAAATGATTAAATATACTTTAATCATTACAGACTTTATTTTCCTTAAGAATAGATTTATGATATTAAGTTTTCTAATTAATTTATTATATAAGTTCAGTTTAGTTAATGTATAGTCATCTTCACGTTCTGATCTAATTAACTTATTTTTATCAGAAGTTCTTAATAATTACACCAAAATAAAATTCTTCCAACAAAAATAGTATAAACTATTTATAACAATTTTCCCAGTCACGTCTTTACTATATAGCTTTTTTTAGAACTTCAATAGTAAACGGTTTAAAAAATTACGTCATCTATTTTATCTCACCTGATTTTCTGTTATCTCCATCACTACCGCGAAATTAGTAAGGTGATTGCAAGAACATACTGTGTGAGTGATGTTGGTCTTTCTCACCCAACAACCTTCCGTCGACCATTGGCTAGAGCAGGAGAATATTAATCATGTTAAACGTTTTCGTGAATACAGCCTAATTTCCAGTATTTAAATATATAGCATTTGAAACATATGTCATACCATGGCAGTAATTAACATTACGTTATATTATGGTGATATCATCCTACAAGTAATAATGTTATATAGGCAAGTATCCGTATGTATTCATAGGTCTATCTATGAAGTATCTTTTCATTTTCTCTGCTCCTCTTCAATTTTATGTTATGATTAAGACAACTGAAAAAAAAACATTATTTTTCTGTATTTCTAGATAACATGATAATATCATTAGGACAATATTTTTAATCCGAAAGAAGTTTGGCCTTGGAAAATATCTTATTTTGTATTGTTCAAATGTATATATGTATATATCTATGTATGAATGCTTGTTTCATAGTAATCTTAAATTATTATAGACCAAAAACCGTGATTTTAATCAACACAATTAACCCATTTGACACTTTAAAACCTAATACTACATGAAGACTGTTATGATCTATGAATATATTGCAAAAGTGCAAACCCTCGTAGGCTTAGGCCTTTTCAGTTTTGCAAATAAAATCGACTTTAAGTTTCTAAATAAGTGCAAACTTGGTGCACTTTGGACTTTTCAGATTTTTTTTTCGAAAATAAAATTAACTTATGACATAAATAAATGTAAAAATCCTTTTAAGCAATATTTATGGTGCGTGAAATTCAATAGAGTTTTAGCCTAAATGAGCAAATATCTAAATTTTATGTTTTAGTTCATTCAACTTAGGTTTATTCATAATGAAAAATATATTATTGTAGGCTATGTTTTAATGTCTTAATTTAGATATTTTATAATGTTTGCTAGAGGGAGTTTTAGCCTGTTATACTGATGTCATGTGCGCCTAGAAATTTCCAAAGTGTGTAGGTTGAACATGACGTCTCCAATTTTTGTCAGATTTGAGAAAACATTTTGTATAAAAATACACCATACTGAATCAGTTAGTAGGTCAGCCAGTCACTCATAGAATTAAACAGTGAGTTGTTAGTAAGTCACTGAGTTAATTAGTTAGTTGATTAATTGGATAGTTAGCAATCCAGTTCAATGTTGCACATTTTGAAATTAGTGTCTTAGATAGGAGAGTAAGTCTAAGTTGCTAAGTTTTATTTGTAAGTTAGGCCTGTCGTGAAACAGTATAATTTGTGAAAGGTTTAGTTGAAGAAATAAAACGTTGTAAGTTTCAGTAATGGAGCTGTACTTTGTATTATTTTTACCAAATAATCCAAAAGAACTCGCCCAACGATAGAAACCGTTGCAAAAAGTATATTTAGTAATCAAGGATATTTTTAACCAATTTTATTCACTTTAATTGTGGTTTGTTTCAAGTCCACACATAAAGAGTAACTTTTGAGTTCGTCTAGATAAACTTGAGAGGCCATAAAATCAAGCTTTATTATAATTCAAAATCTCATCATTTAAGCCATATAACTAAGCGATATTTTGATTCAACAAATCCACCACTTTAAGATACTTCTAGTTAATTTGCTCTTAAAAAAAGTTATTTCCGATGCTGGAAACTCTCAACGATTTATCATCTGATCTAAGTAACTTAATCCAAGTGTATGGGCAGATTAAAATGCAATGAATCAGGGAAAAATCAAACAGAATATTATACAATTCCACATTACCACCTAAACCAATAAATTGAACATAATATGTCATATGTGAGCACAATTGTGATCGTATATGATACCAAATCAAGTTGTTATTCTCATTGGCATCTTTTTCTTTGAAAAAAAAAAGAAATAAATAGTATTATAATTCCATTTCATTCAACAAAATTAAAGGTTTTTGCATATGAAAATAAATTAATAAATTTCACTATAAACGCACATAATGAAAATATCTGATTATAGCTAAATATGACGACAGTGATTTCGCTAGATAGTATATATATATATATGTCTTTGTGATAGCATCTTATTCGAATTAACAAGCATCTTACTAATGTATTCATATACATTTATATAAATATATATATATATATACTAATAGGTGTCACTACGATTGGATATTTATTTCGAATAGAATGGCACTACACATACTCACCTGGAATCAAAATCCCAGAATACGCAACGAGGACTGCTCATATTTTCTTCCTGTGATGACAGAAATTGTATATTTATACAATTAATTCCACTATCGTTTTTGATATCCGCATATAAAAAAAACATATAACCTTCCAGGGACACAATGAATATTACTCGTTAATATATTATGTCATTATGCTCATTTTACTAATTTCTTTTGAACCTTTTCATACTACCCTTCCTTTCACAAAGGAAAATGATTTTCAAAAATAACATTCAACATAAAAATGTTCCTTTTATTGCTATACTAAGTCAACATATAAAAACTTAAAACGTAGAGGTATAATTAAATTTTGATTGTTTTAGAGCAAATCCACATTAGGCTATCTGCTATGTCCAGGGCGGGGAATTAAACTCCGAATTTTAACCTTGTAACTCCAAAGATTTACCGCTGTCCTACCGAAGGACAAATAACCAAAACCAACAGGAATGGTGCTAGAAATGTAGGAGGGCTGACCTTCCAACCGTATAAAAAAAACCCTGAGATCTAAATTACGCATGTTTTGTAAATAGAACGCTTATTTTAAAACACATAGTCAATTAATCCAATACACTTATTATCACACAGACACTAGAAATTAGGAAACTTTCCACATGTTAGTGTTTCAAACAACAATAACTTTAAAACATCTGTAAAAGAACGGTTCTTTGATGAATAGTAACCTAATATTTATTGAAGTTCTTTAAATTTAACAAAAATCTTTGAAACGTATTCTTGGAACTGCAACGTTAAAATAAAATTATACGTGAGCTAAGTAAAATATATATATATATATATATAATACTCTTTTAAAAGTTCCTTGAAAATAGTAAAGTAGTCCTTAAAAATACCTTTAAAAACAGTAGTGTGAAATGTTCCTTTAAAAATAGTAAATGAGTCTTTAAAAGTTTATTCAAAATAATAAGTAGTTCTTAAAAGTTCCCTTAAAGATCTTAATGCTTTTTAAATTTCCACAACTTAGATTTCGTGTAATAAAAATAAAGTTTGAAATATACTCCCAAACGAAACATTCTAAATATCGTAATACTGATGAAAGCTATAAATAATTTATATTATTTAGGACATTTTCTATTTCTTATCTATAAAAATTGATAATTACATTAAGTTTTCGAAAACAGTTCCGTAGGTTTTGAACTTTTTTGTTACAACTTTTTGGTTGGTATACATCAGATGTTGCTAAAGAAGTCGGCAAAACTTTAATTGATCTTCACATGCTTTGTGTCATACAGGAAACGAGAAAAAAAATGACTTGGTAAAATCCTTTCGCGTTTCCTTTTGAAATATCATAAGTTCAACCAGTATTTAACGTAAGCTGAAACAACAAGTCATAATAATAATAAAGAAATGTACCTAAATCTCAACACGAGAGTAAATTAGTGCTAAGATTATATCTTTCTTTACCTGTAAATGTCTTAAAGTCACACTCACGGGCTGGTGAAGTTTTGATGTTCGCAAGTATTCAACCGATGCAGAGATCACTCGAGAATTAACCAACTGAGTCGAGTTTAATAAACTGGTAGAAGCTGTGCCCTCGAGGTCTAGTGGAAGATTGTCCTCTAGGGATAAGAATTCTTCCACTCTATTGTAGGCTACAAACATTACTTTCACGATCCCTGTAACAAAAATGTCAATTTGTTTATTTATGCGATTAATCATAGTTCCCCATATCTCAGTATAAATGGAAACATTATTTTCCTTTCATTCCCTTTAATATGGGTGCAATCTTTTCCTTTACTGCTTATACTTAACTTGTAGCTACATTTAAGCAAATTTACAAGATTTCTCTGATAAACGTGAGTTATTTTAAACATTGATGCTTCATAAAACAGAAAAATAATGTCAAGAAAGACGATTTTACGTTGTCTAATATTCTGTGCTTTAAGTGTCCCCAAGACCTAAACGATGCACAGTAAAAAAGCTGTAAGGAAATAATAAATAAGCAATCAAATTAAGAGTTTTCGTTTACTTTCGTTTTAATTTTTGTAAATTGCATTAGTTTGACGTAAAAATCATAAATCTTCAAATGAAGTACATGCAGTTTTAAACTTACTCAAAGACAGTGAACAATAACGATAATCACAACAGACGATATGGTTTTATCACTTGAGGTTAGACTAATTAAAACATTTAGAAAAATATATACTTAAATAGTCATTTTCTTTCAGTTTATATTTCTGTTCTTGTTTCGTGCTTACCATTTATTGCACTTCCTAATAAAGCTGCAGCAGGAAGAAGGAGAGAGTCTTCCATTCGGTACCATCTTGTCCCTTCTATGTCTTCTGGAACAGGGAAACGGACAGCGGAAACAGCCCAAGTTTCTACTAACCTTACGGAGACCACTGGATATAGAAGTCATTGTTTCAAATATAGAGCACAAGTTTCTTAAGAAAAGGATTAGATATGTATTTGATAAAAAGTAAACTACTCTTTGAAAGGTAACTGAAAATATTAAGTATCTTAATACAGTTTTATCTTCGATAACAAATAAAATAATTGTTTCAAACATGGATTATGTGTTTGAAAATGTATACATGCTATATTATACTCGATAAGAAATACAATTTAGTTTTAAGAGTAAGAACAAAGAGACTGTACAAAAATTTGAGGTAGCATACAAAATCCTTGTTTCAAAGCTAGGCTCCCAAGCTAAAATCTCCAAACATATTATGTTGATGGTCATAGCATAAGTTTTCTTTGTGATCTAATATGTTTATACACTTCAATGTGTCCTACCGTATAGTAAAGAATCTAATATGCTCATACACTTCAATGTGTTCTACCGTAAATTAAAAAATCTAATATGTTTTACCCTTCAATGTGTCCTACCGTAAATTAAAGAATATAATATGTTTTACCCTTCAATGTGTCCTACGTAAAGTAAAAAATCTGGTATGTTTATACATTTCAATGTGTTCTACCGTAAATTAAGAATCTAATATGTTTTACCCTTCAATGTGTCCTACCGTAAAGAATCTAATATGTTTTACCCTTCAATGTGTCCTACCGTAAAGTAAAGAATCTAGTATGTTTATACACTTCAATGTGTCCTACCGTAAAGTAAAGAATCTAATATGTTTTACCCTTCAATGTGTGCTACCGTAAAGAACCTAATATGTTTATACATTTCAATGTGCCCTACCGTAAAGTAAAGAATCTAATATGTTTTACCCTTCAATGTGTCCTACCGTAAAGTAAAGAATCTAATATGTTTTACCCTTCAATGTGTCCTACCGTAAATTAAAGAATATAATATATTTTACCCTTCAATGTGCTCCACCGTAAAGTAAAGAGTTCTCGAATACTAAATCTTGCTTGAAAGTTGAATAGCCTCAAACTCTCTTTCGAATTAAAATGGTATTTACAAAACTTACACTAATAAAGTTATTGTTCCAATGTGATTCAAGATCATTAGATGTCGTATTATTTTCTACAACGACTGAAGTCATTGTTCTTACAGGACAAAGTTCCATTGTTAAATTCGATAAAAGATAAAATTATTGTTTGAAAGCGAGATGCTAAAAATCTAAACATATCCTAAAGATATATCGTTATGGCTAGAAATGAATGGTTTTAGTGGAGGATTCTTACAAATATTGGATTCAGCGCGGGAAAAACGTCTTCCGTATGACTGGGAGTTGGCCAGTAACCAGGTGCTCTGTTCCAGTCTCTGGATTAAAGCCGAAGTCGCCAGTCGCTGCTCGGACACTGGAAGATCTAGCCAAGACTGATTTTGGAACTCTTCCAAGAGGTTACTGCTAACTTCTTGTACAGACTTACAGAAGATATACAAAGAGACAAATGAAATACGGAAAAAAAATCAGTTTTTAGAGTTTCGTTACTTTGTGAGAACTAAAATGATAACAACAATCAAAACCAATAAAGCTGACCATATTTTTCGATGAAATGCAATAATATCAGAAGAGTAAAGGTGATAAGAAAGATTTCAGAAGCTGATTGTATAAAGTAGTAATCTAGCGAGCTATGGTCATATATTCTAGACCTCTAGAGTGTCATCAGTTATACTATCGTACCATAGATAACAATCTTTTATACGCTTTTAACTATATACTTGATATCAGAGATAGAACTCGCTTAAGATGAAAACAAAATATCGCGTTGGTGAAAAGAGATGGTGTTAAGTTCTGATGCACAAGAAAGAGCAATTCTACAAGTTTAAATATTTACACGCTACTTATGCGTCCCTATTATGTAGGTTACAAATAAAGTACACTTATTTTTGTTTGAAACTTATTCCATTATGTTATTATTTTGGCTGATTTATTCTTATCCCAATCCAGTGGTGCAGCGGTATGTCTGCGGACTTACAACGCTAGAAACCGGGTTTCGATATCAGATGTGGGCAGAGCACAAATAGCCCTTTGTATAGCTTTGTGTTTAATAACAACAACTTATCAGAGATGAAAATTTATCACGGTCTATTTAAAGAAAGAATAGACATTTAACAGTTATATCTCAACCATCCCTTAACACAATCTCTCTTTATATCATTATATCAACTGTCAATTGTGTGATAATCCTTTTCGGAAACGCCAGTCTCTAAGATAATTAGAATTAAGGTTTGAGTTTCCTCATCAAACAAGCACTATATTAGTGTCTCTTACTAAACTCAAAATGAATGAAACGTTTTCAAGGTGTTTAATCTTTAACGTTTGTCTTATCTACTTCTCATTTTATCAGGACAGTAAAAAAAAAAACGAACAAAGACCGACCAACGTTGTAGCTACCCAAAAAATCAAACTGCGCTAGATAAATATATTGGATTTTCATCTCATTGACCCAGAGTTATACGGAGCAATTTTTCAAGTTTCTTCTTTTGGAATCAAAAACTGACGTGACAGTAACTGATATCCTAAAGTCCTGATTATGATGAAACAATTTATCGCAGTTCTTAGTGACGTGTTTTTTTCTATCCATTTCATTTATCGATCAATATATCTGCCTATTTCAATGATCCGTCTATCTATTTCATTCATCGATCTCGTTTACACCGTAATTGTTCCAAATAATTAATCTACTGCCTTTTCATCTGCTTGTTGATATGACTTCTTAATTCATAAAAGTTCTATTTGTTTCAAGCTTTCTCGGTATCAATGATATGAAAATAGCCTTTTCAGATTAAGTTATAATGGTACCTCAGTATATTTTTCTTTCTAATTAACTTAACTAATGCTTATCTAATATTTTATCATCCATCTATTTTTAACTAATGTAAGCGTCTTTGAGAATACAGAAAACAGTCTAAATTTTTGTTTCCCTCGCATCGTTTACGTACGCTTTAAAAAGTACTTTGTATGGCTGCTTATATTCTAATTGGTGTTAAAAGGAACAGCGTTAACTTACTTGAAGCATCTCTCTAACCACTTGATAGCGTTGTTTGTCGTCCATGATGTCTTGGACCCGATCTTCCAGCTTTGTGACGAGGCGTTGGAGGATGACCAGAGTTTGAGTTATGTCTCCTCCATACAGAGGCTTAGTTCTGGTAATTACAGCCAATTCTGCTGCTATGCCTACCACCGAACCTCCGCCATCAATCTGAGAAGAAAAAAATATGGTTTGGCATCGCACGATACGTGATTTTCAGTTTAATTTCGAAAACATGTGAATGGTTTCAATACCTCTCATACAAAAAAGACGGATGCCGAGTCTTTAGTACCAGAAGTTTCCAGCAAACTACTAGTAGCGTTTCTATACACTGTGACAGGGACGCTAACTCTTGTTTCTTTGTAATTGTTTTTACTGATTTCAACACTAGACTGATCAGAAGCTAACAAATAATCCTTATGAAAGTCCGTAATATCTAAAAGAATTTGAAAAGTTTCATGAAAATACAATACTCACAACTTTCAAAGTGTATACTACAAAATTCGTGAATCAACACAAAACACAAGCTTAGAGTAATCAGGGAAATCAAACTCACAATAACAGGCTCTTTTTTTTAATTTGTTGTTTATAACAGTACCTGAATAAGTCTTATGGAACACTGGCAACATATAGATATATACTTGTTTTACTGTATTTCAGCGTAGTCGATTCGAATCGCCTTTTAAATAGCCTTGCTATCAAACCCTGATAGAAGAAATTCGGATGAAATTATTTTTTTATCTGTCTTTCTTGCTAACACATTAAAGTCAATTCAGCATGTTTGAAAATGCTCTGTGGTTTATCGCGTTCACTTTTAATTAATTGTACTTCATTTATTTCTATAGAAACGGCCCCATGTCTCAACGGTATGTCTGAAGGGTTATAACGCTAAAATCCGTGGTTCGATACCAGAGATAGGAACAACACAGACAACCCATTGTGCATCTTTATGCTTAACAACAGACAAACAAGTCTATAGAAACAATCAGTAATACTTTTCTCATGCCCAAATGTTATAAAATATAAGTTAGTCTACACTACATCACCATGTAACTTGTTCTGCTTTAACACATAGAACTTTACACAAACTTCGTATAGCTAAGTGGTTTAAGAATTAATTTATTTACCTGGGCATAAAAATGTTTTAAAAACATTCAAAATGATTGAAATTTTGTAGACATTATCTTTGGTCATTTCTTCTTCAGGGAAAAACTGGGAATGTTGGTGTAATCGAATGAGTGATATGTATAAAGGGAGTTTAGTAATTGTTTAGTCTATTTCTCTATGTAATGTTGTAAGCATCTCATTTCCGGTACAGTGTAGCCGATGGCGAGAGTGTATGTGAAAAGGTGTTAGGAATATTTTACTTTAGAAATGGCTAAATATATGTATAATTAAAACTATATTTAAGCGTTTAAGTAAAATAAATAAATAGTATAAATAGCCGTTTCATGCCATAGTTGAAACAATTGTTTAAAATAAAACACACCATAAAGTAGTTTTATCAGTCAGGGATAATGAAGTGGGGCTAATTCAATACAAAAAATGATGTCCAAGAAAGTTTCAAACAGATACCAATATTAATGTAATGCAACAAGTACGATAAAATTATAATACTCAAACTAGGCGGGAAAATGAGTAATTATTAATCTGATACGTTGAACAAGGATATTGGATATAAATCCAATACAGCGTAAAAATCGCTCGATTTCAATCACGCGGCCTTCACTGTTTTTAAATCTTCAAATATGATAAAGTATGCTCTGCCAACAACATGATACATTACCAACATCCCTTCAACATTTTATCGTCAAACGATAAATTATCAGAAAAACATCTTACCCTTGTTTTGAGGTTTTCTACCCACGCCGACTGGCAGTCACTGAGATCAGGTGAAGACCCCACCCACCGAGGTGGGTTCGACCCACACTGCCACCTTGAACGACCTAAAGAGTAAAGAATAAAACAAAGTCGTTCTTTTTTTTTTACACACTCCTTAGAAAGAAAAGTACCCCAATGAATAATAGATGGATTTAATATTTATGAGGAAGATCATAACCACTGATGACTACAATAGTTATACCACAGCACTCTAAAAAGCATATTACGCATAATGATGATGGAAAGAGTGGAATCTGAACACCTTTAGAAGCAGCTCATGTATACTAATGATCAGAAGAAAAAAAAAAAGATAAATTGACTATGAAGTAGGTCATGTTTGCCGGTGATCAGAAAAGGCATTTTCTGTGTTTATCACATATCAAGTCACATATGCAAGTGATCAGAATAAAAGTCAGGACATCCTTAACGATTATCAGTATTTTAGACATCTCTACTCTTTATAAGGCTGTACTATGTTGAAACTAAAACTTACTTTTGTTTCTATGGAACTAACTTAAATGTCCCAGTAATAAGAATGGGAGTTATTAGCTATATCATTAAATACAATAGATATCAATCTAAAAGCTATATGAAATAACCAAATTATATAGCAGTGACATGCAGTAAACAGATTAATTACTCTGATATGATCACAGAAGTAGACACCTATAATATTTATATTTGAGAACACAAACAGCATAATAAAAAATCTGGAAAGTGGAGATCAAACTGCCATAAAGTAATAAAAAGTATAGAGGTGAACAATCTATAAATTTCGACAAAGCTACATAATTTATGGACCAAACTAACTATACTAACTTGATCATAATAGTAGAGATTTTACACTCTTTGTAAATCAAAATATTTCCATTAAAAGGATCAAACAGTGGATATTTACAATCTTCAAAACTAAGGTAATTAATTATAGAAGAAACTACGCTATAATTATTAGAATATATAGATACTATCGTCAAGAACCAAGCCACTTACTAAATCGACCAAAATAGTGAATTATCTTCTGATAAAATCAAGACACTTACATTGATTATAATTAAAGCTAACTCAGTAATTACTGTATGAAAAATCAGCTGCGGTACAATGAAATTGAAAACAAAGGACTAGAAAACTTTTTTTTTCAAGTTTAAAATCATTAGAGGAAGAGCGTCACAACCTGAAACGTTGTGAACATTAAAACATCTATCTAACGTTAACCATTTTTTACGGTGTACATTCTTCCCTTCCTTTTGTTTTCCAGTAATTACTATAGCTTATTTAATATGCTGTTCTAAAATGTAAACATATAATAATTAGAATGTATTGACTTATGAGTTGAATACTTTCGTTGTTATCGATATTTTCAGCCGTAATACCAATAATGTCTCACGAAGTTCAGTTAGCTTAAGAGATTTAGGTCAATTTAAATCCAAATACTAAGTTAACAATGTAAAATAGTCATAATAATAAAAAAGCTTCATATAATATAAAATATTTTCGTTCGTACTGTTAATGTAGCTAACAATAAAGAAAGCGTGAGATATAATTTATTTACAAAATGCATGAAACCAGGATTTACAACAGTGAAAACTAACTTGTTAAAGGTAATAGCAAAATTGCATGGAAATGATCAAAATGTGAATATTTGTATACAGGACGAAACGTCGTCCTCTACACTTGTGTTTCTACAACAGGCAGTTGCTGTCCATTCTATAAACTTTCATCATGAATACTCTGCCTAAACAATCTATCAAATAATGATCAAAATACTTTCAAGTTCAAACTATTCATTAGATATCGTAATATATATACTAACTATTTGTCATTTTTAGAACTGCACTGAGATGGTCAGGATAGAGAAGGTGTATAGATGTGTTAAGATATATTATACTTGTTCAGTGACTTTTCCTTCGACCAGTTTTTATTTCATTTGTACTTTTATATGTACAATTTTCAGTATTTGTTCATTATTTCCTTACACTGATTTTAGATCATGCAACGACAACCTCGAGAGTTTTGTTTTATTCATCTCCGTAAATATTTCAGAGAAACAATTCAACATAGAATGTAACTAATTCTAATATTATTTTATTTTATTAAAATTTACTTGGAATTAATTTGAGTTTATTTTTACCCAAGACAGCAAAAAATATAATAGAGCATTCGTACTGACATTGCGCCAAACTTTATACGTCGAATGAACTGACCTGTAGATCCACCTGGACACTGCTGTATTGCAACTTCTCCTTGGTGAGTCCAGTTCCATAAAATATTTCTTGCAATTGTTGGAGCACAAAATTCTTTTCTGTCTGAGCCAGTTGGTGAAGTATGAGTGTTGTAAAACATTCGTGGCGGTTCTGTTAATTTGCAAAATCCAAGATTTGTTTGCATCATTTACTAAATATGTTATATACAAATCTACACCAAATATTGATTTCCAAAATGTAGAGCCATAAATGATCTAAATATAACATCTTATTACTAAGTTTCAGAATATATTCAATAATTTCTAAAGTTCTATTGGTCGAATTCTTCTGCAACCTTGTGCCATTCGGATGGCATGATGAAGTGGTATTCCTTTTTCTTGTTGCACACTGTCATATTAGATTTAGGCGGTAAGGAACAATAGGGTCATTTTCGTGTATCGTCTTTTGTATGTGCATATGCCATCATACTTATTTCAAAACACTTTTAGGCAAAAGATTCACCCCTTATAAAGATATCGTTATGGGTCATTTTTCACATATCGTTAACTATGTGATCTTTACTTAATATCAAGAGGTCACGATTTTATTGCTCAAGAAACAAAAGCATGTTTGAGAATATTTAACTTCACTTACCAACAGATGGCAGCACAAAAATCGCATTATTTAAATTATTTTGATCACTAAGACAAGTGTTTAGCGTTTGAAAAAAATAACATTTCATGTTTATTCTAACGTGAAAAGAGGAAAGGTAAATGCTAGAAAAGTTGGTACCTTGGGTTTTTAAACAATAATCTCCTATGTTTGTTTGTATAAAGTCTACTATAATGATGATTAACTTCCAAAGCAGTATATAGTATTTATAGATATAAATATGAATATAGTCTTCTTTAAAACATTTATTGATCCTCTTAAGGCTACAATTAAATTTCTCGTGTTATTGCTCCCTAATTAGATAACACATCAATATTAAAAAGCATAAAAAGTCTTAAAAGTCTTTGTCTCTGTAAAATGAGCTGTGGCCTATTTATGTTACATCTTTACTCAAGTAAGTTATTCATATTATAATTCTGTCTCCACTTTTCTGCAAAATAGAAAAGCAGTAAACCAAGAATTAGCTGAGAACAGATCTCTTTTAACTTTTTTTTCGTATTTCTTGATTCCAATGACAGTTTTCAAAAGCGTTTAAAGAAAGTGTTATTAATTCCTTCGTTTCACTCAAATGAATAGATATACTAAAACTTTTAAATTACTCTTTTTTTAATGTAAAAAAGGATTAAATTAGACGTAACAAACTTTGATGGTGAATCTATTAGTTGCTTTCAAGAAACCTGAAAGTCGAACCTCATGGTAATTTGTTCTTTTCGAAACATTTAATTTAACTCATTGAAGAACTTCTTATAACTTCCTGTTTTCTAAGCGATTTCATTAAGGCCACAACTTGCTGAAGTTTCATGACGAAAACACTACCACCAAGTTGAATGATAAAGGAAATATTTGAATCAAGAGGCAATTTGTTTTTAATTGTGTGGTCAAAATACCACTTCAACCTTTTAAATAAATTTAACTTTTTCTTTCCACAATCAATCAACAAAAAGCGTAGAAGTAATCCAGTCTATCAAGTCAACTATCTGCTATAATAGCCTTTACTTATTACATTTACAATAGAGAGAGTTGAGGTCAACAACACCTTACTTGTATAGAGTTGGACCATTGTGTTGTGAGTTGAAGTGGTAATAAGGTGTCTTGTAGAAAGAGAAAACCCGGGAGTTGAGACAGTTATCGGCGACAGTTGTGTTGGGTTGACGGATGTGGACATCCTGGTTGACTTAGGTGTAATTGGTAGCAATGTTGGCGGTTTTAACGTTGTTGTCGTAGTTATTGAAGACTTTGGAAACACCGGCTTATAACTGTTGTATGTTACAGGAATTATTATAGGGGGCCTAGTGGTGGTTGTAGTTGTTGTGGTAGTGCTCATCGTAGTTGTGGAAGATGTTGTTATTTCTAAAATACAAAACAATTTTCATCTGTTTTTACTTCTTTATTGCACATAATAAAACTCTGTGGTAGTATTAAGTGATTGATCCAGTGTGATTCTTATTTCGATATGATTCATCTATAATGTTAGAAAATTTAAAAAAGCGAAATCAATTTAAACTGAATATATTGTATACGAACCCCCCTTTCAATAATTCAAATATTTATGTTCTAGTTAAGTTGCAATAAAATATAATTTAGGAAAAAAAAACAATTGATTAAGCTGAACTAATGAAGTCCAAATAAAAGAAAATCTGAAAATTACACGATAATCAAAATATATATCAATAATAGTTGGTATACGAAACAATCAGTAATAATATACAAATAACACACAACCTTCCTATGGTTGAAGTAACCGAATACTTCCGAATAAATATGAACCTTTTGGAATGACATATAATTGTGCCATCTTGTGAAGCATAAATGTATGTGTACATATTTTGATGAAAATAACTTTCTTAAGTTATTTGTTCAGAAAAAAAATCTAATGTACTTAATACTAGCTTTTAACTAGGAATAAAATTAAGCAAATTATTTTGTTTTCTTTTCAATACAACTAGGAGCTCTTAATTTTCTTCTGTACCTGCAATACATTGGTAGTGGGCCTCCAAATACTTCACCGTGTCCGGACATGGGTCACCAAAGACAGAACTGGAGGCGGGAACACTGCAGCTTTTCTTCATATCACAGCTTCAACAGAGTATGAGGATGAGAGTTTATTGATTTAAAAAAAAACTTAGATCACTGACCATGCATCTTCGCATCGTAAAGTAGGCGTTCTTTATTTTCATTGCTAAAAATCAATTACAGTACACGAGAGATCAATGTACGACTATATTATATGAAAACAATATTTGAATACCTAAACAGGGACTTACCATAATTTCACATTGAACATTTTTACTTGCAGTGAAAATAAAGATGTCTATTGCTAATGCGATTGAAAGCATGGACCAGTAACCAATAACGAAGTGCCAACCTCAAAACATCAACCACTTACCTCAAAGGATGGTTTGAAATGTATTCACATTCTTTTTATCAATATACTGGCAAGATTTTACGTCCCTAATGATCTAAAAGAACATACGTAAATCTCCCTTTTACGACTTTCCTAAGATTTTTGGGTTTATAGTATTTCTCGTTACTCTGTGCATATTTAGGAAAGACGTTGTGTAAAAAGTAGGTAGGCACTCCGTATGCTGCAGAGTAATTTTTATCTAGTAGATTTTACAGTGTTTACCATGTAAAAGTTGATAGTGGTCAACTTAAAGCTGTCTTTTTTAGCAGATCTCGTTAAAAAATAACTGACCTAACACACAACGGTAGTGAACCTCTAAGTATTTATGGGTCCCTGGACAGGGATCTCCAAAAATGGCACTGGTGATGTTCAGACCACAGCTGGAAGCGAGATTACATCTGTAATAAAATTTACGAACTTATATTCTCAAAGATATGATTGCTGTGTGCATAAACACGTAATTTTTTTTGCTAAATCTTGGGAAGAAGTAACTAGCATACAATTTAGACTTGATCTTAAGTTTCTACGTATTTCCTGTGTATATATACATATTTATACAACTTATTTCGTTACGCTTAAAGTAATTACTTAATCTTTTTTTTTTACTTAAAGCATAATTAATACAATATCAGGGCGTGCATTTTCCAATAAAGTGAAACTATGAAAAAGTTATCGAGGTTGAATTTTTTTATATATTACTTAAACAATAATTTTATATTGAGGATAATAAAAAAAAGCATTAAAATACCAACAAAATAATTCCTGTTATATTATTATTACGTATCGCGCAAGGAGAGAGTTATAGTGAAGAAATCATGGAAATTTAAATCATCTTTTTTTAATTTAAGCAGATGTGGCGAGTGTTCCGAGCCCACTTGATCGGATCAACCAAAGTATTCATTATTTTACACTTTTCCGAAAACAATTAATTTTTAAACAAAATATGAAATTGACGTTTCTATAAAAATAGCAACAAAGACCAAGTTAACTTTTGTATTTTTGTATGATAATAGATACTATATTATGAGAAAACTGATTATGAAAATCAAACCACCATCTGCTCGTGTATCTGTGACATGTGTCACCTTATATGACATTTAGTTCTTTTTAATTACTCGAAGGTGATTAAGAATTCATAAAAAAATAGCGGAATACTAATATCACGTACGTAAAAAAAACAAAAAACGTTTATTGAGTGACATTTTGAGCAAACACTCTTCGTCACAAGCCTTGATTAAGCCATATATCGATAGGCCATCCAGTCTTTTCTTAAATTTAACTAGTTTTGTAATGAGCTAAGAGAATAGAATAGAACAGAATAATATTGTGTAGAATATTTTTTAAAACTCGTCTTATTTTTTATTTCTTCTAATTACCCCCTAGTATGTATTATAATAAAGGTTAGAAAAAAAAACCCAACAGTGTTTAATTAAAGCTTTGCTTTTCCAACACAAGTTCATGATAACTTCCTAATACAGACACATATATGGTCAATAAGAAGAAACAGCTTCTATCCAAAAGCAAAACAATTTATTGCAATATCGATCCAACATACTTTAAACACTGATTATCCTGTTGTCGGTTGATATGCTGTAATATCACTTGATGGCGGTTACTGTTATTAAAATTGATCTGGTTAAAATCAAAATTATTTTAATAATAGAATATCAGTTAAATGTATTACTGTATATCATATTTAAACAGAAAACAATACAATACAGAGTGAGAAAGAATTTTGTAATTTTTGGACTAGTTCCTATCATCATATATATACAATGCCCTTCAAAATCAGTTAAACACTCCTGAAAAGAAAGGAACTGCCTGTTACCCCTACTTCGTTTTACAAAAATTCGTGTAGTAGGTCGTTCTGAATTTGGCCGGAATGAGGTCGGCCATAAAGCTTTACACCACCCAATAATAAGACACTGATAAGACAAGATCGAAAAGACCATCGTCACAGCTTGTTAGATAATGGAGAAACAGCAGGCAAAAACAAAGACACAGTTCTTTGGATCCAACACAAACTTGGCTGCCAAAGGTGAATAACTAGTAAAAAGCTTTTGTTGACTACAATACATGCAAGGCAACAATTTCCCTGATCTACCGAAATGCATCGCCATCTTGTGGAGTTGTGAAGGTCACTAGTCTTCTCTAATGGATTTAGATTTCACCAATTCAGCTCTAACAGCCGTGTATGAGCGTAGTGAAAGGCAGACGATGAATTCCAAATTTCCTGTGTGCAGAAAACTGTCGAACATGATAGCGTTTCTGTCATGGTATGGGCAGCCATTTAATGAGTGAAAACAAAACGAACCTTGGTTTCGTTGATGGTTGTTTAGATGATGCCACTATTCTCCAGAACCACGTCCTATCAGTCTTCCATCGAAATGTTTTACCGTCTTACATTCAGGAAAAAGATGCCTTGCCACACAACCAAAACGACAACAACGTGAAAGAGGGACAAAGGCATTAAACTCCTGCTGCGTGTTCCACAGTGTCCTATATGAACTTTTAGAACACATATGGGAGTATCTAGACAGAAAGCTATTGAAAATACATTCATGGTCCACCAATTTACTCCCCCACATACAGCAGAACTTGTACCAAGGTGTTATTCATCAACTGATCGATACCACGCCAAATCGTATCCAGTCGTTATCTAATGCACGTTATAATTAAATGCTAGTACAAACGTATGCGTAAGTGTCACATAAATTTACTTTCGATGACATAAAACTGTTGTACTGTCAATGTTTCACTGGTGCCCAATTTATTCTGCCAGAGCACTGTATATGAACCACAGTATCGCCGTTATCTTTTCAAGAATGTTTGAAATTATAAACTCTTAATACGCTGGCTGCTAAGTTATAGGAATAAATCCCCACCTTACTGACACCTATCAACAGAAAGGATTCGTGTACTTTTCCAATAATATATTAAGCCCGGTCATATTAATCACTAAGAATACATTCTCTAACGTGACATAATGGGATTTATAATGATGAACATGGTAATTTAAATAAAACTGGGCTTAAGTAAATCTATAAACTACTGCCACAGTCTCGCTCATAGAAATGTTGTTGTTTTTGGAGAGAAGTGGGTAGCAAAGGATGTAAGAGTTAAGAAAACAATACTGGACTTAATATCATTTTTATATCTCCCTTTTTTGGTATTTTAATTGTTGATTAACAATTGCTAAAATGTATATGTTAGAATTTTTTGTTTTTGATTCTAAAAGCCATTGTAATCTGTACTAAAATATTAGAACAATGTTTTATAAAGAAAACCAGATTAAAACATGAAGTTTCTTTGTCATGGAAGTTATTCACCAAATACAAAATTTATTGTTCAATAGTTCAGATCTTTGTCTGTATGAGGCTTATCAGATATGATTATCCTGATGTAAAGAGATTAGAGAAGCTGAAAACAAATTTTCAGCGACAGTTATTTTTTATTTTACCTGTCCAATAAAATTAAAACATTTAGACTATAAGTTTGTTTGTTTTGTTTGTTTGTTTTGT